AAGTGAGTGAGGAAGATGTGCTCGACAGAGACAAGTGGAGAAGAGCAACCAAAGCAGCTGACCCCAGGACAGTCTGGACTAAGACTGTGAAAAAGAAGAAGAAGAAGTAGCTTGTTTTCATGTTTCAATGGTCTAAAGCAAAATTATTATAATTATAATTATTATTATTTTGGTATTATATTATTTTCTATTATTATTAATATTATTTTGGAAAAATTGTGTATAAATTGGACATAGCTAGAAAAGAAGAAACTGTTTGAAATACATATTTGTATAACAAAATACATATTGTATGCTAAAAATAAATGTGCATGACAACAAAAATAATATTCTGGTATTTGTGTTTATGAAAGAGATTCTTACCATACTCCTTTACTTCAAAATCAGTAGTAAATTCTTTTTGAGGTGTCTTTTCATGTTTTGTGACAATCTTCCATGTTCCAAAACTACAGAAAAGCAAACAAAAAACATTCACTTGTGTCAGGAGGATGAAACATTATGGAATCCTAACTCTCATCAAATCTGTCTCTGGCACCTTAACATATTTTCCTGTTCAACATGGATGTCTGTGGTGTTTACACTACAGAGTGTCTCCCCTACAATTCTGAATATGCTGAAGAATGGCTCAAATGCCACTTTCACAGCTGTTAGGGAGTGTTAATGGAGCACCTAGATTTGGAGTGTCAGTAGTTTAGGCCACTACAGGGTGGTGTAGAGAAAGAGAGAGAGGTAAATATGGTTCTACAAGGTGTCAAGAAGAATTGACTACAACTGTCTGCAAGCTAATTGCTCTCGAGTCAACCCTCTATAAAGGTTATCTGCTCTGATATCAGATTAAAACAGCAATTTCTGTAGTAAGACAGTACTCCGTAGTAAAAAAAAAAGTCCAGTCATGTGGTGAGACAAAAAACAACAAGGTTAAGAACATAAAATAACAAACCAAATACTTCTGTGTCAGAAGTATTGGTGTGGCCTATTTGTAATATGTCCCTTGACAAAAAGGATTAGTTGGTTATACTAAGTTAATTCAACAAGGAAACAGAAAGACCAGTGCTTTTCAGACCAGGTTAAGTTTGGGTAGGTAGAAAACAGGTTTTGAAAAGAATTTGCATTCTTATTGATGCCATTCCATGCAACTAAACTCAGTCTTCTCCAGCTAAGCTCACACCTTATTTCATGATGCGTCTAGTCATGACCTCTTGGGTACATCAACTTCCATTTTACATTATTTTGCAATACTTAATATATAAGTATTATATATTTTATTATTTTGAAATGAAATGGACAAACATTCAAAAATGTCATTTTGTCTTGAATGACTTGTTTCTTTCACACCTTGTGCCTGTAATGTAACTGTGTTCTGCGAACTTACGGAACAATTTCTGGAAGACTATAAGACTTTGAAATAATCCCATTGCTTGGAAAGAAGACATCTCTCTGTACTACAATACCATCAGGATTCTGTAAAAGGAGGAAAAAAATAGTTTTATTTTCAGGAAAGAACTGGTGAATAATTGTGCACTAATTTGCACAACTAATGCAATATTTGTGAAAGATAGTTTTACTGTATATCCCCCTGAAACTGATTCTTAATTGAAAGCTTTTAATAGATGCAAATGTCTGTTGAAATGTTTTTATATATTTTGTAATTAAAGCCTTAGAAAGAGCATACATGCTTCTGGAACCCATTGAATTATACAAATGATTTTCAAGGAGGCTGAACACAAGGAAGGTAAAAAAGTAAGGTGAAGTATCTAAGACTTGAAATTCGATTAGAACAGCAGTGTGTTGTGGTGAGTTAAGTGTAAATCAGGAGATTTCTACGCGTAGGTCCTCCAATGCCATGATACCCATTCCTGCCAAACCTGGTTGTAGTATATTCATAGAACCAACTTCTCATGACCAAGATAATGAAAGAAATGCAAGTCCACTGTACAATTCAGTGCTCTAAATCCAAGGACACTAAAGATGAGCCCATTTCTGACAATTCTGTTGACAAAGGGTTATTTAATTACCTCATAGATACTGTATATTGTTTTCTTTGTGAGTGTATAATATATATTTTAAGTTAAGCACTTGGAGTGCTCAAATATACAAAATACATCTATGATGCCTGAATCTTAGAATTGTCTACTGTAAATAAGTAAAGGTTTTACAAACACAACTGTGAAAATATGTTTTCCGAGTATGTTTGCTTACATTGGTTGCATTAAGTTGAAATAAGTACTGTATATACATTACCATAATTTCAATAGAAACTGAAGTTTGACAAGGAATCATGCGGCTGGTCAGGGCAAAGACCCTATAGAGAACTGACAAACAAAAAATGTAAAAATATATTTCTGATATGTATTCTGATAGTGTAGTAATACACTCTTAAATTATGTTAATCATACTGCAAAAATCATACTTCTGCTCTCAAAAGAGTAAAAATAAGATACATGCAATAATGTAATCCAATGATATGATACAGGTGCAGCACCTCAAAATTCTTGGGGTATTTTGCAATGTACTGCAAAGAACATGCTGCGGTACATTGAAAGGTACCACCAAAACTCTTTTTATTTTTTCAAATAATATTATGCAGGACAGTTCTACTCTGTAAAACTGTTAGGTACCACAGTGACTCCTTAACGTGCAGTGTATTTAACAGACAGTAAATCTTATTTTAATAATACAAATTAAATGTAAATTAACCCACTAGAGTTTTCCTAGTTATACTGTACAGTAACACATATTGTTTTTCATTTTTTAATTAAATACAATATTCAGAATTATTAGTAATTATATATAACAATTAGAAAACATCATTTTATTTTGGGTTTTGATTGTAACATATATTATACATATAGTAAAATGTATTATACTGAAAACATCGTATTTACAAATACAGATGCAGCCATTCAACCCCATACAGCGCAAAATTAACTGCAGCTCACAACGTTGTACTGCAGTACGTGACTGGCTGGCCAAAATGACTAACAGGGGCACTCGTGGTGCATAGGTTGTTAGTGAAACGATTTAATCATTTAATCTCTTTACTGTGCCTCAGCTTAATATTGAATATTTATATGGAATTATAAGGAATTTTTACAACTAAAGGAGCATAATGCATCTAAAGGTCATAAATGATATTAATTTAGGAACATAAACGTATTATGGAAACTGCATATGGTGGGTATTGGTAGTTTAAATAAAAAATACACACCGGTATTCCACTTTCTTCCTAAACATTTTAAGCATCAAAGTCTTTCATTCAGTTACATACTGTGGTTATGTTGGAAAAGTTTCAATGTGCTTCTTCTGACTATATTAAGTTTATATACTTCATAAAAAGTTATAATGTTTTAACCTTTCCTATGAATATATGCACTCGTTATCACAGTAAAGAAATGCATACTTTTTAGAATTTGATTAATAGGAATATAATATGGAATTGTGTATCTAAAAAAATGTATAATGATATAATTCTATTCATATAGCTCAAATTATCACAGTAGTATACTTTCTTTTTAAATGTCTGCATCAATTTATGTGAACATCTGCACTCATGGTTATGTGTATGGTGTAATGGCTTAGGTGTGTCCCTTGCATAGTGGATGTTGGGGGTTCAAAACCAGCTGTCACTATGCATTTTCTTTTAACAAATAAACAGTTCTTTGAAAAACTAAAATAGCAAATATTATGGAGACTATATTGACATTTTTGATATTTCTAAATATCACAACATGTTCGAAGCTAAGTGATTTATTAATGACAATTAATAATTTCAAATGGCTACTGTACTGCCACTACAGTATAGCTTGTGGGAAATACATTTATTCGCCCTGCATCAAAGTTTAACTCGTTCAGAGTGCCCTACATTACAAACTCCAAGCGTTTCATTTTGTCTATTGCTACAATATCGACAGCAATGTATTTAAAAGGAACGTTCAAAATGTTTCCAAAATAACCACAAGTAAATGAGTTGAGGGATTTGATAACAGAGAAATCATAACAATGTCCCTGTGTTGCTAATCATGCATACCCAACTGAAAGAAGGGCATACTTCTTAGAATGGTGGTTTAACAAGGTGCTTCTGTATACTATTATCATATCCTGTGGTATATTGCATTATGATGCGCCACGCCTACCACATTTTGATGCAGCGTACTTTGTGCATTTTTAAATGGCTGGATCTGTAAATAAAAAACAAAAATGAAGCCAGTAGTGACTTGCATGATTTATGGTCATGTACTGTAAAATAAATTGCACTATACAGTACATTACAAGGCTGCACTATATAAACAGTTTTCTATCAGGTAACCACAACACCACAACACCACAACAATGCTGCAATAATTACATCAGCACGTTTTTTATTTATAATATGCTGTTTTTAGTGTGTTTCTTGGTAATTTACTGCAAGTTTTCATCCAGCATTTTTCATTTATGTACTGCTGATTCATTTAGAGAGACTTGAAATAAAAAAAACAACTTCTGGTTCACTTGATTTTACTTTCCCTGCAAGTAATTATAACATAAGAAATTCTAATTGTGTTTTTTATACAGTATATATTATGTGTAATGCTTATATGAAATGCAATACAAAATAGAAAAAAATTAAGTTTTAAATGTAGGTTGTTCAAGCAGAGTGATGCTTTAGTTCAGTGGTTCTTGCCTGCCATGTTACCTACAGTATGTTACTGTAAAAAGACATCATTCTTCAGATGAGATGTAAAACTATTGTCCTGACTCTCTGTGGTCATTAAAAATCCCATGGCCTTTCTCGAAAATTGACCAATATTGGCCTCCTAAAAATCTCCATCTATGAATTTGTTACATCACTCTATTCATCTCACCATTGGTGTACTATGGCTGTTGTTGCATCATCCATGTGGGTGCTGCACAATGGTGGTGGAGGGGAGTCCCCATGACCTGTAAAGCGCTTTGAGTGGATTGTCCAGAAAAGTGCCAAATAAGTGTAAGTAATAATAATAAAGCATTATTGCTATGTTTGTCCCCGCCGCTTTCATTTCCAAGATATAGCACTTTCATTTTGGGGGTTGTGAAGTCACTCAGCCCCCCTTGCAACAATGCAGGAGAACCAAACTGGTCTCAATTGTTAGTGGAGCATTTGTGCTGATTTGTGCTATTAAAAGTAGCTTTCCAGTTACACTTTCACTTATCACTCTGCAGGGGTCCCAGGGTCCTCATAATCAAAGGGGATAAGAGTGGGAAGAAGGGAGATGTAATCACATTATTTCATAACATCACTGATCTTACGTCTGTAATTTATTGCCTTAATGAATACTACCTTTTTATTTTAAACTTTTTATTATAATATTTATTCTATATTGTGGCTTTATTGATTAGTGTTTAAAAGCAAATATGCATGGAAAAATCTCAGTTCTGTTTAAGGGCACCTTTAAATTCTTTTACTCTCTCAGAACAACCTTTTTGGTCTACTGATAGAAGTGTTTTTTTACTCCTGACATTTTTATTTTAAGATTTAACATGCTGTAATATGTAAAAATAACAAAAATGCCAATAAAGTACACATAGTATTTATTATACTATATTATACTATTATACTATATTCAATTAATAATTGCTTACACTTATATAGCGCTTTTCTGGACACTCCACTCAAAGCACTTTACAGGTAATGGGGACTCCCCTCCACCAATGTGCAGCATCCACCTGGATGATGCAACGGCAGCAAAGAGTGCACCAGAAAGCTCACCACACATCAGCTATCAGTGGGGAGGAGAGCAGAGTAAAGTAGCCAATTCATAGAGGCGAAATATTAGGAGGCCATGATTGATAAGGGCTAATGGGAAATTTGGCCAGGACGCCCTACTCTTTTCGAGAAACTCCTTGGGATTTTTAATGACCACAGAAAGTCAGGACCTCGGTTTTACATCTCATCTGAAGGATGGTGCCTGTTTATAGTATAGTGTCCCCGTCACTATACTGGGGCATTAGCCCACTAACACCTCTTCCAGCAGCAACCTTAGTTTTTCCCAGGAGGTCTCCCATCCAGGTACTCACACCTGCTTAGCTTCAGTGGGTTGCCAGATGTGAGTTGCAGGGTGATATGGCTGCTGACTGATTTTACTACTGCATTAAAGAAAATCTTTGTTAAAATCTTTGTATTTGTTAAAAGTACAACTGGCACATTGGTCAGGAATCAAGCCTGGGACCTTCTAGCTGGTTTGGACAAGTTAGATCAAATACCACAAGAGCTACCTTTTCCCATTTCTACAAGAGTTTCAGTTAAACTACAAATGTTTCATGGTCCATTGCAACAATGAAGACAGCAAAATGTTTTTAAAACAAGTATGTGAAAATGTTTCCAAACTAACAAGTGACCAAATTAAAGAAATGGATGAAGATAGTTTAATACACTACTACAACCAGCTATATAAATATATTAATATTCATAAATTAATATTATTAATGATGTTCCAATGAAGTTAACATTTTCACTAACATCTAAAGCACCACAAGTGACACCTACTGTATCGATCATTTATCCTTGCCCATTGAAGATTCTTTGGTCAGTATAGCACTCAACTGCTGCACGACAAAGTCATTTTACAGTGATTTTGTAGAACTTTACAGTACTTTCTAGAACACATTGCGACAGTTTTTATTGTCAAACCTTTATTGTCTGTTTCTGCTGTGATTTTAATTTTGACATAGACTTACACGTTCTGAATGCTGTAATGTTGTCTTACCTGTGTCTGTGGGAGTGTAAATGGATTTGTCCGTCTGTACAAATATGTATCCAGAGAGAAAAGAAACCAGAACAATTTTCTCCAATACTTCTCCTTCAAATCTTGCTTGGAGAATTACATACTGGTTGGAACTGGATTCTTTTTTAAATGAATTATCAGGGATCTAGCCAAAGAAAAGGTATAGTATGTGACCAGATGACACATTCACGTTCATTTTGACTAAACCTCTGTATATTTAGTACATAAAATTTGTTAAAAGTGTATGGTTTAAGAATAGGAAAATAATTAATTGATGAACAAATAGCTTTATTAAACTCATGCATGTGGAAGTAATTCTGTTTTTGTTTTTTTTAATTTTATAGTTGCATTATTTCTCTTGCGATATGTTACTATGGTTGTTGTTGACTAGCTGTGATTTAAAAGTTTTTTAGAGGCAATGAGAAGTAGTCAATTTTATAGATGTATAGTGTGTTTATTACTGTTATTATAGTTGTTTATTTTGTATTATTTCTATACTTATTGTCTCACACAGTGTCTGCAGCAGGGGACTTGAATCCATAACCTGTCATGGCTCTGTAATGAATTCTGAATGACACACTGCTCTCTGCTCTCCCCACTATGGCTAACTTTACATGTCTGAAGCAGAGACTAGGCAAGATCATGCCTGTTTTTTTTTCTTTTGCACTAGTTATTTCATAGTCATAGGAGCTCAGTCTTGGAACATATATCATGTGAAGTTTTAACAGCTGAGTAATATACAACAATAATTAAATGTTTGACTATTGAACGTGGCACTGACCTTTATTTTGTGTAAAGCCTGGAACTGGTTTCCTGCATGTAGAGTAACATGGCTCTTATGGAGCTGTTGCCTTTTTCTCTGGAAATCAAGCACAAGAATGTCCACTTTTAGGCTTCCTCCACTGTAGTCATGAGCTTCAACCATAATATTTTCTTCACTTGACACCCGTAGGACATTAGGGGCAGTTAGAACATAACTGATAAAAGAAAAAATATATAAATAAAATCTTGAGATATTTGACAATGTTAAGTTAAACATTAAAATGGAACAACAATAAAATTAGACAATTTAAGGACATAAGAAATTTAGCAATCAAAAGGTATCCATTCTAAAATTTCATCCAACAATTCCTTAATGAAAACAGTTGGTTTTTCGATTACCTGGTTGGGATAGCTTTTACATATATCTACAACTCTTGGGGTAAAAAAAAAATGTTTCATAGTATCTTGTTTTGTAAATTATATTATAAAAATAATTTCTGGTTGTGTCCCCATGTCCTTGATTCACTATTGAGTGTGAAATAGCCTTCCTGGTTGACCCTCTCTACACCCCAAATCTGTTCTCACTTTACCACCTAGCCCAATCTCTCTCTGAAGAGATTTAAGTGTTTTAATGTCCTTAAAAGACAATCCCAAAAGAACAACACTCATTCTTTTTTAAACTCATTTTAAGGATATAATATTTTTGTTATGATAATCACAACAGAACACAATATTCAGAACAAGAACACAGAACACAAGTTGATATTATAGTTTTGCACTACATAGTTGCTGACCAACATGAAAGTTCAATCCAATCCACCCATTTTCTAGCCACTTATCCACATTAGGGTCACAGTGGCCCAGAGCCTATACCAGCAAGCAAGCACCTTGGACAGGATGCCTGTATACAGAAATACAAACACGCACACACTCACATCTAGACAGTTTTCCCAGAAGCCAATTAACCTGTCATTGTACTGTGGGAGGAAATCAGAGTACCCAGATGAAACCCATGCAAATACAGGGAGAATATACAAAACTCCACACACATAGCACCACAGGTCAGAGATTGAACCCAGAGCTCCAGCACTCAAGGATAGCAATGCTAACCACTCCAACACCATGCCACCTATGAAGGCTTCTTTAATACAACATATTGACAATAGTTCTTATAGTCCTTAGTTCTTTAAACCATTAGCTAATGTCTTGTCTAAGTTCTGGTGAGCCTTAAATGTTTCCGACTATACTTTTAACAATTATTTAATTGCACTATATGAATAGAACTTTCTGATGCAAGGAATGGGTACTGTCTTGTGGCAAAAGGAATTATTTTATACTTTGCTTCATCATCTATCCACAGATGTACCTGCTAGACTTACAGTATATCAGACTACAGAAAATATCACTGAGCCAACTGGAGTAAACAAGATACTAAAACAGTATTAAAGCTTTGTCTTTGCTCGTGACAACATTCCAAAGCATTGCTTGTTCCTCTTATTGGACTATTTAACAGAATATTAACTCTCTATGCTGAGGTCATAGTCTTTCAACATGACAATATTGTATGAGAAACATATGCATATAATATACAGTATATACAGTATGCATTCTGGATCTATTGACTTATTTTTTAACAACTGCATTCAACACAGACGATGAAAATTATTCCTGTGTATTTACTTTTTTGAATATTAAAAAAAATGAAGCTCTTCATTTATTGTGTCATAAATATAACCCATAAAATTCACTAAAGCATATAAAACACAAACACCCATTATAAGCTAGTGACCTACTCCTATACGACACTGTTGATATTCAGAATTTTAAAACCATGAAGCATAACCATCTTGTTTTGTTATCTGTGCAGTTTACAGAGCCTTTTTTATATTTTCTTAGTTTTTTAGTATATTTTTTAATTTATTGCTCTTTAAGAAATCTAAAGCTTACAAAAGTAAAATCGAAAGTGCCTGCTCCTATATGGCAGCATCAATATCCATGCCATTCATGACATATTTCAAAGTGCATGCACAAAAGGTGTTAATTATTGTTTTATTATATTTTCCCACAAACTACTACTTTTATGGACATTGTCAGTTTTTGCAGGGAAAGTCTGGTATTTCTGGTTTTAAAGACAAAATTTCCCTTTAGCAGATCTAGTCCTTTAAACATGAAGTCAGTTAAACTGACAGCTTACTGTCAAAAATATCATATGCTCTGTTTGTACCCATCAATGTTTTTTTTGCAAAGTTATTTTAACAAAATCCAAGAACCACAGACACTCCAAACAGACCAACTCCAAATCCTCCAAAATCTCAAAATCCTGTTGTTAGTCCTAATTAGTGTCTTCATAATTTACTTTAGTATATTTGGTAGAAGAATATTATTAGAATTGTCTGGATGATATGAAGTTGAACATTTGAAAATTTAAGTAAAGTTTAATTGTTCAAAATCGTGTAATATGTACTATTAAGAAAAAATGTACGATTAAGAAAAAAAAATGAAAGCAAACATTAATTTTAAAAGTGCAAAAAACATTTTGAATATAAACAGTTTTCAGTAATTTGTTTTCTACATGTGTGTACCTTTCGTATATTCAAATGTATCTTGAGACAATTTTTATATGTATGGTAAATTTAATCGAAGCAATACTTACAGGGGTTTACAGCTGGCAAGAGTTGGGTAGGAGAAAGCCAACAGAGTGAGAAAGACAACCACAGGCATCCTGCTAAAATTAGTATATCTTACCCCTTCTATCAGAAGGGAGCCTTTAAATATTATTGCATGCGCACTGAAAATCTGGCAAGAAGAATTTAACCTTTAGACTGAAAGGTAGTTTCCAATTATCTGCAACTAAATTCTTTCTAAAATCTCTTATGAAAGACATGTTCAAAGAAATACTGGAAAGAAATTACAGAATTTTACAGGAAATCAGACTATGAAACAACCCTGTATAATCAAATATTTAAATTGCACAATAATCATTCATTACTCTGCAGAGACTAGAGCTGTGGCACGATATATACGATCCATATGACAGATCCCAGCCTAAAGGATCAAAGGTTTAAGGTATAAAAACTCAAGAGGTCTTCAAAACCGTAGTGAAAGGGGTTTTAATTCTAGGAAAAGGTTCCTACATACACCAACTCTTACTTATAACGAAGCTCCAAGTGAAAATACTATCCACTCAGTAACAGTTATATACACCTACACACTAATTTAACTCAGGGCAGAGTGGTGGCTCTGTGGTAAGCATCTGTGCCTACAGCTAGAAGGTTGCCAGTTCAAATCCTGTAGCTGGCATTGGAATCCTACTCTGGTGGGCCCTTAACTCTAACTGCTCTAGGGGTGCCATACAATGGCAGACCCTGTGCTCTGACCCCAGGCTGTCTCCCTGTCTGTGTGTCTCATGGAGAGTAAGCTGGGATATGTAAAAAGATCATTTGTAATGTGAGATTATTGGCTTAATAAAGTGATGTTATTTTATTATTATAACCCCATGTGAGAATGTAACCATCTGTGATTATTCCAAGTAAACTGTATAACAAATCAATACTAAGGCCCTAGACAATTAACTCTAGATAAGATTACTTTCTTATCCATATACAATTTCCTGCATTAAGAAATCACATTTTCACATACCCCAACTTGCTCTCCATGAGACAAAGGCACACAGACAGGGAGACAAGTTCAGGGTCAGAGCAGAGGGTCAGCCATTGTACAGCACCCCCAGAGCAGTTGGGGTTAAGGGCCTCACTGAGCAGGATTACTCTGCAACACATGGGATTCAAACCAGCAACCTTCCAGCTATAGGCACAGATCCCTAGCCACAGTGCCACCACTCTGCTCCTAGCAGACCCGCTGTAATTGAGTCCTTAATGGACTACTATGCCACATTTCCTCCTTTTAAACAATATCCGACAGGTAGGTCTCTCTTTTCACCAAAGGTCATAGGAGAACAACAAAACTCATTTTAGAGATTCTGGGATATGTGTCACCTTTTTTTTTTTTCATTTTAATGGAACTGCTGATTTTTCCCTTCATTTTGGGGAACTTCTGGAATGCAAGAAATTCCTCCTTCACCTTGGGGAACTCTTGGAGCACTTAACAGATTAAAAACGTATAGGACTCTAGAAGCACAGTAAAAGAGTCTTGATTATAGGAGATGTTCCCATATACAAATAATCCACCTTTAACCTGAACTACCAACCACTCACAAATTCCATTATATATACCAAACTCACTAATTGAACCCCATATGCGCATTTCACACATTATATATTACATTTGAGATTGTGATCCTTTTGACCTTTCATCAAGGTTAATTTATATATCACTAGCTTGCAAAAAAGATTTAGTTTTCTGTTTGTGAGGTGGCTTTGCCTGGCCAAGAGTATTTTTGCTCTTTTACCATAATGAAATTTTACATTTGTGACCTAAAAACGAACTTCTGTGCCTGGCACAGATATCTGGCAGCAATGCTATCAATTCCCAGTAGTGTGTTTTGATATGTTGTGTTTAAATAACCTTGTCATTACAACATTCAGTTAAAAGAAACATAATGCATATGCACCAAGAAAATTCCAAAAGATTTAGTAATGTAATAAATAATGAAAAAAACATGTACTTATTATCCCCTAAACAACTAATTTAGTTATATAAAGAGTACATTTTGGAAATTAAGTTGTACAAATAAATGTATATAAGAGTCTCATTTAAAATAACCTGAGCATAACAATAAACTGAACACTGTATCTGTTTATTAAAAAAAATACAATGAGTTTTGGATATACTGTAGATTAAATATTTTGGTATCATTTTTATTACTTGATTATTCATGACCTTGAGATAAAATAGCCTTTTATTTTAAAAGTAAAGGATCTAGTTAATAAAAAAGATGGCTTAAAACAAATTATTACACTTGTTGAATTTTATGTCTGGTAAAAATAACAAAATAAACACAGACTAAGCAGCCAATATTCTCAACATTATTAAGTGAACAATGTTCCTTTGTATCATCATTATGCATTTAGAAAAAAAATTGTGTACTCCTGCTTGCCTTTTCGTATGTTCACAGTTGGCAATTCATAACCTGGAAAGATATTACAACCAAACTGAGCCTTCATTACTATTACTTTACTACTTTACTATAACATTACTTTAACATCGTCCCAGGATGTAACTAGAGCTGCAAAGGAGGCACAACGGCACCATTACTTCCTCAGACAGTTGAATAAATTTGGTCTAATTTTCAACTATCCTTACTACATTTTGCAGCTGTGTTATTGAGAGTGTGCTCCATGTGGTATTACAGTGTGGTTTGGCAGCAGCTTGTAACACTCAGAGGTGATCAGGTCAGTCCAGATTATTGTACAATAGAGTACAGCTCCCCTCTATTGTAGACATTTTTACAACTCGCCGTGTCAGGAAGGCTTTAAGTATTGCTAAGGACAATAATCATCCTGTGGGTTTCTCACTTATCTTTCCCCTTCCCTCTGGTAAGTGTTATAGGAGCATAATGGCATGAACCTCCAGATTCAGAGACAGTTTCTTCCTGTAAACTGTCAGATTACAGAACTCTACCCCTATCATTGATTTACACTGATGTTTATTTTTCTCATAGTGCTTGTCAGATTTGTTGTTTTTTTTCAATTTGTATGTTAATTAACTTGTTGTTGCTGCTGCTGTTCTGTGTTTATTTTTGTGGTGATCCCTTATTGTCTTTGTATTGGAGCATACTGCATTTCATTGCACTTGTGCATATGACAAATAAACTGAGCTGCTCATGTACAGATGCAGCCATTTAAAACAAGCGGGCGATACTGCATTATTTTGTGGTGCGCTTTACGCAGTCTACCGCGAGTTACCGTAAATTCTCCTATAGTACCACAAGTAAAATTATAGTATCTGGAATTTCCGCAAGGTGGAGCTAATAAAGCTCAACCTCTCATGTTTGAGATGTCGCCATCAAAGTCTTTACGAAGATAGTACTAATAGTATTAATAATGAATGACCTTGGACAAGCTGTAAACTCAAAGTATTGCCCTGGTCCACATTCTTTTTTTCATTGACCGTCTTTGTAGAAGTAACACCACAGCATTTCTCAATCACGCATTTGTTTCCAATCATGCACAGTAATTTTTGAGAATCTCAGATTCACCATGCCTTTCACATGCTCATAAAAGAGATTGATTTAGGAACATAAACATATTACTGTATGCAAACTGTACTGTATACAGTATATATATGTATATTTAATGTCTTTACTGTGCCTGTTTAAGTATTGAATATTTATATGGAATTTTACCACTGAAGGGAAATCTTAGTACCTGAGCATAAAAAGAATAGGAGCATACTGTAACACATGTGAAGGCCATAAACGATCTTAATTTTGGAACATAAACCAAATATATGGCTGGTCTCGGTACTTTAAAGAAAACATACATACCAGTATTCCATTTCTCCCTAAACATTTTAAGCTTCGAAGTCTTTAACTAACGTGATACCAGAGTCAACAAGCAAACTTTTAGAATTTGATTAAAAGGGAATATAATATGGACTCGCGTATCTAAATAAATTAATAATGATATAATCATATTCATGTACCGCAACACAAGAATAGTACACGATGTACATTGTCTGTTGATAATGTTTCTGTAGTGCTTTTTCAGCAATCTGCATGTGACCTTGCCAGTGACGCTGTGGGTTAGGTTCCTAACTCCCCACCTTACATGCTCTGTGTTCAAATCCCACTGGAGCCATGACTTTCTTTAACAAACATTTCTTTGAAAAAATGAAATGTTTTCCTGGGTCAGAGATTAAATAAAACCTCACTCGCACCAAACAAATTTATATTTCTAAATATCACAACATGAACGAATTTAAGTCATTTTAATAACAATGAATAGTCACCTAGGCGTTACAATATATACATTTATATTGATTTAAATCGCGTTTAAATCGCCTTTACAGCAGCACAATGCACAATGCAACATAAATCGCTTTCTCTTTGTCTTCTGCATAATAATGTTCACCTCTCTGTCCAGCAAATTAACAATAGTAATAATAATGAACTTTGTTGTATATGGCGCCTTTAAAGCTGGCTCCTCAAAGCGCTTTACAGGATAAAAACAATAACAACAATACTGTTAGGCTGGGCAAGCTATTTTTTTTTTAAAGAAATACAAAATGAGATATAATGATGTGTTCCGGCTTAGACATTAGGGCATAAAACGTGGGCAGCCAGCAGGAGTGCTGGCTGTGACGAATTAAATCGGTTTCACAGG